CCCCAAAACCCCAAAACCCCAAAACCCCAAAACCCCTGTAAACTATATAAAGCAGAAAAGATTAATCTAAATAAAAAATTAATGGCTGTTCCAACCGGAGGAATCAACAGATACGGAATCCTTGAAATCCAAGAAAAGGACCTATTCACCTTAATAAAAGAGGAAGCACAGGGCTTTGATCCCATGCTTCTCTTCTTACTTGGCTACAACTATTGCAAGCTTGAGGGCAATTATAATGGCAAAAGTTTCTTTGAACTAGCCAAAATAATTCAGAAAAGTATCAAAGGAAACCTTCTCAACAAAGTCGAGCTACAAGCAACCTACAGGAAGCTATATGGGCAGGACTACTTAAGTGATGTCCTGAACCTCTCATGGTTCAAAAGACATAAGGAAGCATTCGAACAGAACAATGAAGAAGTATCACTAATGAAAAGGAACCCCAAAAGAGAGCAAGAAGAATGCAAAGACGACTCTTTGAGCGTAGCTGATGCTTCTAGCCCTACCAAAAGCCCAAATGGCCTCCTTGTAAAGGAGGAAGAGAAGACTGACCTCATTTCTTCCTTCCTAAAATCAGATATTTCCTCTGATCTCAAAAGTGAAGACAAAAGAAACTCCTCAGAAACCTACCATCAACTGATAGAGCACCAACAAAGATTAGAAACAGAAAGGAAACTCAAAGAGGAAGAGGAAAATAAGAAGCTAATAGACCAAATGCTTGCTGAAGAAAAGTTGCATCAAGAAGAAGCCCAACAAAGAGCAGCTGAAGAGGAGCAAGAGAGCATTAGAGTTGCTCAAGAAATCCAAAAGAAGTTTGAAGAGGAATCCAAGCAACGAAGAGAAGCCGAAGAGGAGAAGAACAAACCAGAGTGAAAGATTTGTTATGATGTCATTGAATTCGATGATATCAATGTGATTGGCTGTGGGCATATCTATCACCCATATTGTATGAAGATGCATCTCCAAGCAAAGACTGACTCCAAAGCTTTCCCTCTCTCTTGCCCAGAGCCCCAATGAGGCATGGAGTTGGCCGAGAGCGAAATCCAATCTTTCTGTGATGATGAGCTTTACGATAAGATTACAAAGTTCCAGCTAGAGTTATTCTTGGAGCAAAATAATGAAATGTTCAATCATTGTCCTACTCCAGACTGAGAGTTCGTTTTTGAATGGGATGGAGACAAAGAAAACCAGCAGTTCAAATGCTCAATTTGCCACAAAAATTACTGCATAATGTGCCGTGTGGAGTGGCATGATGGATTAAATTGTCAGGAATATCGAGAACTGAACGGATACCCACCAGAAGATCGTGCGTTCTATAAGTTCATTAAGGGAGCACAATTCAAACAATGCCCTCAGTGCAAGTACTGGGTTGAGAAGAGTTCAGGATGTGATCATATGACATGTAGATGCAGATATGAATTTTGTTACAGATGTGGAGGAAAGTACCAAGCTTGAGATTGATAATTCATAAATTTTATAAAAATTGATATGAAAAATAAAAACGTTCTCAAAATTCACTAATCCCATCAAGGAGATAGTATAATCCATCCACTATAATGTTTAATCCCTAAAAACACTCATTCAACCACCCAAAAAACCCTAGGGGTTTTGGGGTTTTGGGGTTTTGGGGTTTTGGGGTTTTGGGGTTTTGGGG